GGCCCTGATGGCATACCCGGGCGTGTGCTAAGGGCATATGCTGGACATCTGGCACAGGTCTTTACTGATATCTTCAACCTGTCACTGGCCCAGGCAATTGTCCCCACATCCCTGAAGACAATATTCTTCATACCGGTGCCTAAGCTATCTACTGCAGCATGCTTGAATGACTTACGCCCTGTTGCATTCACCCCCAATGAATGCCTTGAGTTCTGGTCACCTCATAGCAGGCCTACCACCTACACTGGACTCCCACCAGTTTGCCTACCACCGAAACAGGTCAACAGAGGATGCCATTTCCACTGCTCTTCATTTAGCCCTCACCCATTTAACAACAACAACAACATGTACATAAGGATGCTGTTCATTAACTTTAGCTCTGCATTTAACACTGTCATCCCCACCAAACTGATCACCAAGCTCAGTGACCTGGGCATCAGCACCTCCATATGCAGTTGGATTCCAGACTTCCTAACCAATAGACCTCATTCTGTTAGGTTGGGCAATCTCATGTCCTGCACACCCCACTGGGTTGCGTGCTGAGTCCACTATTCTACTCCCTGTTTACCCATGACTGTGTGCCAACAACAACAACCTCAACAACCTCAACCCTCAACACCAAGAAGACCAAAAAGCTCATTGTGGACTTCGAGAAATCTAAAAGCAGCAGACACTCCCCTCTACATCAATGGGACTAAAGTAGAGCGTGTCTCCAGCTTCAAGTTCCTGGTGTCCACATCTCTGACGATCTATCCTGGCACCATAATACTTCAATTCTGGTTAGGAAGGTGCAACAGTGTCTTTACTTTCTGAGGAGACTGAAGAAATTTCATCTGTCTCCCCAGATCTGCCCAGATCTTTTTATCACTGCACCATTGAGAGCATCCTGACCAACTCCGTCACAGTGTGGTATGGTTAGGTCCATGGTGTCTGAAAAAAAAAAAAAGCCCTGCAAAAGGTGGTGAAAACTGCCCAATAAATCATTGGTGCCCAACTTTCAGCCACTAAACACTTTCAAAAGAGAAGACGTCTGCGCAGAGAACACACAAAATCATCAGGGACTCCTCTCATCCCAGGCAGAAACTGTTCAACTTCCTTCCTTCTAGGAGGAGACACAGGAACATTCGTGCCAGAACCAGCAGGCTCAGGGCCAGCTTCTTCCCCACAAACATGACCCTGCTGAACTCTACACTACATCGTTAAGCCACTGAGGTTTTACTGCCTGTAATCATCTTGCAGTTCTATTCTATACTATATATTCTGTGTTATCTCTATATCATAGGTTATCTTTATAGACGTATCTGTATATTATCTGTATATATATTATATATTATCCAAGAATAATCTGGATATGTTGTATATACAATGTACATATCTCTTACATATATGTATGACTATACTTGCATATATTATATTTTTTAAAACCTATTAGAGATTTTCTGTTATAACATAGTGTAATTTACCACTCATACTGTTATCTACTCAGTAGCTAGTGCACACATTCACTGCCCATAGTCTTGCTATTTATTTATTTACAGTATATACAGTATATATTTAAATTCAACCTGCACTTTGTTAATTTGCTCAGTGCTACTATTTGCACTTCTGGTAGATGCTAAACTGCATTTGCTGCTGAGTACTTGTACTGTGCAATGACAGTAAAGTTCTATCTATCTAGCTATCTAATAGTATTTTAACTGTGGCTACATACAGTCAAGTCACACAAGCAGCTTAAACAGCTGAGTGATTTTCTGCCACAGTGAAGGCAAACAACCTCCTCAGCTTCAGAGTTAAACCAATTCTACTTTTTCTTATATTTATTCCTCTTACAATAACCCTGAACTCCAAACTATGACTTCGAAAGTATTAAGTCCTCTTTAAGTCCTCAACCATAGATTTGGTTGTTTAAATCAATTTTCAATCAAAACAAATATGCCAATTATAAGAGGATGGTGTGGTAACTGGAAAATTGTAGCCACAGAAGCCACTAGCTAATTCTGCTACTAGTTAGTGATAAATGGCATTTTTGTTGTTGTGGTATATTTTGACAGGTTTGGCTGCTGTTAAAAATGTCAACCTGTGACACATACAAGCTAGTTTACAAGCAGTTAATTAGCCTGCTAGCTATTCGGGATGACAAAAGGCATAGGTACATTTCCACTTTTCAAAATTTCCAAGCAACCAGCTCATCTTCAGAATTAAACCAATCTTTATTTAATTTTTGTATTACAGATATATAATAAATCTAATCTAGATAGTGAGCTAGGGCCTGGTGTGCCAAAAGCCTTATAAAGTTAAGATAATCTTAACTAGTAGAGAGGGTGATCAGTGTGATGCTTTCACTACTGTAACTTAGCCTAGGCTAGTAAGGTAGCGATTACTAGCTAGAACTGGTAAGAGAGTTGTTATGGTTGCAGTGTGAATGAGAAGTTTTTTTTAAATATCAGCACAAAAGGTGCACCAAAACAAGCCAAGTGTGAAAGCAGCCTAACAGTTGCTTGCTTACAGCGGAATACTAATTGGGGAGAACACAAAAGCTTTCAGTATATAAGGGATATTTTGGCCCCTTAACCTCAGAATGCTTGAGGTTTCTGGAACAATACAGACCTTCTGTGCATCTGGCGGGTGGAACTCAATCAGTGGGGGCCTCTCAGGGAGTGTGTATCCACATGTAGTCATAATTTTCCTCAACACTCCCACCATCCAGTTACAGCCTGGAACAAAATCAGAGCTCAGAGATTACTCGGAGTTTGCAGTTGTGTTAAGTCTGTCATGTTCTTTTTTGTGTACTTGAAAAATAAACAAGGATTAAGCAGTGTTGACACAAAACACACACACATGCACGCCACTGGGACTGTTATGCAAACCCTGGAAACCCGGGAACTTTTCATCTAACTGCAGTGCAAGGTTTAGTATTAATAACACTGCTTCACACTGGACTTATGGAACTGTGAACTGTGGATCTGGAGTTGTTATGTAATGTGTAACCTGATCCTTCCTCTTTTCCTCACATTCCTGCACAGAATGAGAGACTTGCTCTGCTTTTGTAGAGCTGCAGAAACAGCTGAGAAGAAAGGGGAAAAAAACATGCAACAACTGTGATATATTTTATCCAAAAGCAGGTCTTACTCACCACATTTGGGATATGCCACCAGCATGACGTCATCCTCCCTGGCCTCCAGGTCCTTTAGGGCATCGAGGTTCTCCGGTGGGCTCATGATTGTGGAGTAGAGGATCCCATTTCTCTTGTAAAGCTTCTCCTCATCCTTCATATTCATGCCCCGCTCCATGTTGGACTTTATGTTTGCTGCAAAAGTTGGAGCAGACATCTTGTCCCTGCTGCTTCAGGCACGGGGTCTCTTCTACTGCTGGCTGAAGAGTGGTGTGAGAGGACTGTGCGTGCGTGCGTGCGTGCGTGCGTGCATGCATGCATGCGTGTGTGTCTGTGTGTGTGTGTGTGCATTGTGTGTAGGAAGGGCTCGCGTGAGAAGGACTTGTTTGGGTGTTTAGTTACTTATTCACAGATCTTTGACCTAGAATAATGATTACATAGATTTCAGTACATTAAGTGGGGTCCAAGCACTAACCTATTATTATTATTATTATTATTATTATTATTATTATTATTATTGTTATTAAATGTGTAGCATTATTGCAAGTGTGTCATTACTCTTCAACAATGTAAGCTGAAAGTGTCATATAACATTCATTATATATTATTAAGCACAAACTGTGACCCCGTTATATTAAAAGAATTCTCAGGTATTTTTCATCCTAATCTCTAGCCAGCATATCCATAGTGTATGCGTGATTACCACAGACAAGAATTTCAATACATTTCCCTGCGGTGAGAGCTGAACAATGAAACAATGTTTACTCCAAACTCCCTTAAAGTCTATGGGTAGTGTTTGAAGTCAATCAGTAAATGTTTAAATGAATTTTTGTTTGTAAATGAATCTCTGAATCTGTAAAATTCATCTTTTCAAAGAAGGAACTACTTCTCCAGGAGGGACACTTTGTGGCAATATTACCAGTGAAGATGTGTGGTATATGAATACGACAAGCCCTTCAGGAAAGGGTAAAGCGACCGGAACTACTACTGTATTGTATTGTTTTAGTGTTGGAAAGTTGATAAAACTTCATAAGAACAGTTTTGGTAACTGAGCTTGATACTTTTATTCTTCAAGTGTAATGGCTGTAATTTTGAATTCACGTCACACAACTGTGTATTTTAAACAACTGCCCTTGTGTATTTTAAACAACTGCCCTTAGACTTTTATTATAATTGAGTAAACAGCTTTCTTCCCCCTCCATACTGAGAAACGTAATAAAAGTCTGGTTTATGGTAATTAAACATACATTGCGCATACATTGGCTAGAGATTAGGCTGAAACATGACTGGAATATTTTTTGAAATAAATAAATAAAAACATTTAAGTTTCTTATGTCTTATATTTCACATTAATTAAATGTTGCTCTAAGCTATTACTAAGATCATTTTTACTTCTCACTGACACCTGCATAACCATGTTCAAGCTTGCTTTCTACCTCCCATCCACCGACACATTCTTACACAACTCAGTAAACCAGGAAATACAATGAAAGGATGTAAATGAAAATGCAAAGGATGTAATCATCTCTACTACTGTGTGCTTTTTTTTTGGCTCATTGTTATTTTTTGGCTCATATTGTCGGAATTGATAGAAGAGGCAGATGCAAGTGCAGGGAATTTATTAAAGAAGACAAAGCCAAAACAACAGTGAAAACAAGAACCATTAAGATGTATACAAGGCAAGAAACATACAGACTATAAAGCGATACTCAACAACAGCTTAGCAGTAGTTGTTGTTCTTTCAGCTGCTCCCATTAGGGGTCGCCACTGTGGATCACATTTCATTGTCCACATATTGCTTTGGCACAAGTTTTTACACCAGATGCCCTTCCTGATGGAACCCTCCCCATTTATCCAGGCTTGGGACTGGCACTGAGAGTACACTAACCTCTCAGCATGGGGCTCAAACCCACACCCCTGAAATCAAGAATCGCATGCTCTATCAACTGAGCTAGCCAGGCACCACGACAATAGCTTGACAGTGAGACGCTGAAAAACTAGAACTTAAATAGTGGGACTAACAAGCTGTGGGTGTGTCTTTTGATGTTTGTGTTTACCAACAGTGCACTATATTCTATCTAGTAAAGTTTAAGTAGAAAGTAGAAAGTTTAAGCAGTGGTGTAGAAGGTAAAAGGGAGCTGGTTTGCTTTTAAACTATGACCAAGGTTGACTCTGTGCCAGAGGTTATGGAAGTTTATCTCATCTCTTTCTGTTCCTTGACAGCTCCTCCTGTGCCCTCAAGCAATTCGTGCAGGTTTCTCCAGGTTCCAGAGATAATACACACACACCCCCACACACACCCCCACACACACATGCACGCAAAGTACCGTACATGCATGACACATAATTTTTTAAGTTGCACTTGGACAGCTTAATGCTCCAAAAATCTGTAAAGAAACGTGTGTTAACGTGCATTCACATTTTCATGGTGTTTTCTATTTCAAATGAGTTTTTCTTTCACTCAATACTTTGAGTTTCACAGTTTTAAAGAAAGATTTTAAAGAAAGATTATACTGTTTTACTCACTACATGTTAAAACAAAATAATTAATCTATAAGAACATATATTTTTAAAAAATATATTTATTTAAATATTTATTTAAATTTTTTTATTTAAAAATCTAATAACCTGAAAATAAACTTAAACCAATGTGACTACAAGAACAGAGATATTACCGTTTTTTTTTATGTATTCTAAATTTCCTAGATGTTTGTGTATACATAAACCAAAAATGTTTAAGAATTCTTGCTTAAATGAAATAAAAACCCTTACAGAAAAGTCACACAAACTTCACATATGTATAATTACATGGTAAGTTTCACACACTTTTCACATTTTATTTTTCCAGCTGTGATTTTTTCCCCACACGATTCAATTCGTTTTTAAATGTTAATTTTTCACATATAGGGCACATGGTTTTATTTTTCACATCACATATTCTTCACATGATGTCATATGTGGAAATATCTATGTAAAATATATGTTAATTTTTTTCTTACAACAAAACAACACCTACTATCTATTGCTATAAATATCTGACATCACTGACATTCTGTATTTATCTCTCTGATTTATCTCATGACAGACAGCTATTAGCATTAGCATGCAAGCTAGTTTATACTGTCAGAGTTGTTATCTGTTTTTAGTTAGCGTTACTTAATGCTTGCTCATGTTGCTTGGTTCTTTGTCAAACACAGATTTACTGTCAATTACAAATCAGTGTGTGATTTGTGGTTCTTTCTTGTACTTTTATTTTAATGCTGATTATTATAAAACATATCCACAATTTTAGATATATTTATTCATCTAGAAATAGCATGAAAATTCACTTAATTTATATTAAAAAGTTAGCTGCCATCACACGAATATATATATATATATATATGGAAATATATATATATATATATATATATATATATATATATATATATATATATATATATATATATATATTACTGCTGAAAAAAGTTATTCACTGTTATTTTAGGTCTAAAATATTATGGTATATTATGGTATATATAGTAATAAAATTTACAAAATTATAGAAATGTTATATTTATGTTATACTAACTTTCATTGCCTGTGCAGTGACAATATAAGAATCATTTTTCATCATCTTTTTTTTTTTTTAACAAATACAGTTAGTTACAGTGTGATTTTTTCACTTGATTAGATTTTTTGTGTAGAAAGTTTAAACAGAAATGCTTGAGATGTGCTGCATCTGTCAGCGTGACTTATTTTGGATTGGGATAAGCAGTAATAAAAGTCAGGCTAATGGTTTATATAATATTGGAGTAGTTTGGAAGTGATTACCACCTTATTTATTTCTAAAACAGCTTTAAATTAACAGTACATTTAAAAGAGTGCAGTTTTGTTCTTAAAATGTGTATGTTTAAATTTTTGTACTTTAACTACCAGTAAATTCTGCCCATTTTTGGTATTATTCACTGCAGCAGGATTACTCTTCTGAGATTATTACAGGAAACTTTTCCATTTCAGAAGCAATCTGTTAATTTCCATGCAGTAGAGATTTTGCTTCCTGCATAAAGCAATGAAGACTACTGATTACGCAACAGCACTGCTGGGAATAGAAAAGCTGCTTCTGTAATGATCCACATATAGGCTTTTTTTATTTCCATTTCCATAATTATTCCTGTCTTAACATCTGCATTGCTTATACAGCAGCAAGGCTTCACTGACATATCCATAACATGTCATCTGTAGCTGAGAAGCTTTAATATAAGAAAAGAAGAAAAGTTTGAAGCTGTGGATGTTTTATGCAGTGAGTAGTAAAAAAGTAGACTAAGTCTAGGCCACAAAACATTAATTCATTCATGCACTCTTCAGTAAACAGTGAATCTGGAGTCTATCTTGGGAATGCTGCACACAAGAAAGACTGCTAAACACTTATTTTGAAGAATACATTTAAAAAATAAAACTTAAAAAAGTATGTAATATAATTATAATGTGGTCATAATGGGCTTAAAAAGGTCTTGAGGGATTATTGAGGGTAGAACTTTTATTTTTTTTAAAAAACTATTTGAATTTTACAGAATAATAAGGTTCAATTTGTGTTTGGACATTGTTTAGAAATAATGTAAAGTAAAAAATATGATTCTTTTAAAAACCTTTTGTTGTGTGAGTGAGTAATGACCAGCAGAGGACAGTGTTGTCAAAGAACAAAGTAAAAGTTGGCTAGTAGTCACTGGAATTCCATGAATCAGATCATTTGGCTCAGTTCGCTAGTAAGAGTCGACTCTATTTCAGCTCCCAAACAATGGCTAATTGCCATTTTTCCCCCTAAAGTTTAGAGAAAGATTCACCAGTGAGTGTTGTTCTTTTGCAATTATGTCTGAAATTGTTTCATTAAATGTTTTCTTCTAATTAATAGAATGACATGGCTTTGCATTGCATTTTGTAGCCTAAAATCTATTTAAATAATTTGACAGCTCAGATGTTGAAAAGAGGGCTCCATGGAGACATTTTGATTAAATGACACTACAAGAGTAATGACAATGCATACATCTATGAACAAACAAACAACCCCAAAAGGCCCATATACGAGAGTCAGCTCCAACGTTCACCTAAAAGAGCCGATTCAAAGAGCCAGCTTGTTCCCAAATCACTATTAACAAGAGCTTTTAATGCAGATTTTAGTACAGCTTTATGTGACATCCATTGTTAATGTGTCAGTGGTCAGTGTGGTCAGTGTGTAAAACAGAAGATCTGGCCAGTTGTCTGTTCAATCCTGGCTATGCAGCGAGTCAAATGTTTTTCATTTGACCATGGCTTTTTTTCAGTCAGTCAACTGTAGATGTACTGTTTATGCAGCATGCTAAATGATGAGTTTAATCTCCTCTTAGGGAATTAATCCATGCAGCATTACAGTGGGGACTTCCCAGTGTCAGCTGCCTGGATAATCAGCTTTTTGGTAAGGAGAGGATGGAAAGGAGTGACCCATCTGCTGGAGAGGTAGACCAGTGAAGCCATTCATGTATTCATCAACCACATGTATACTCATTGCTTCTTTTTTTTTTTAGTTAAGATATAATAAATTCCAGAGGACAAAATTAATGTTTTGTGAAATCAGTATTGTCATATATACCTTGATGCCTCCTTCTTATGCTAATCTTGAATGAAAAGTTTTTAAGCTTTTCAATCATCCAGATCCTTCAGTATCTTTAGGAAATACATCTATTAAAAATGCAATGAGGGATAATATGAGCTTAAACATATAGTGAATGATAGTTTTATTTGAACAAAAAATCCCTGCCAAACACTGGATTTTAATATTATTGGCACCCACAGTTTTTCTCCTCCCCTAATTTGTCACCTGCCAATTCCCATCCACGAGCCAGCTCTCTCTATCAAATGACAACAACCAACCAGAGAGGGTGAAGGCTACCATGTGCTTCTTCGGAGACACATGAAGCCAGCCAGCTGCATTTTTTTAACTGTAGTGTCACAGGGCAGCGTAACACACTTGGAGAAAAGCACTCTGTGCCCTCTTCTGCATACATGAGCTCACAGCTACACACAACTGGCTAGTCTCATTGTGACAGGGGAGGGAGAGAATAATGTCCCTCCACCCAGAGAGCATGGCCAGTTTTGGTTCCATGACTCCCAGCCATGGATGGCTGTGGGCTTCAAACTTGTCTAACAAGATTGATCTTGGAGATGTTCTTGGTCCACTCTTCTGTACAGCACATTTCAAGCTTCTGTATGTCTTAGGTTTGGGCATGTGGACGTTCTCATTAATTCTGACCACATGTTTACATCTGTAAATCCAGATACTGAGATGGTCATAGACTTGATTTTGTAAAAATGTCCTGGAATAATTTCTGTGTTGATTTGGACCATCATTTTGTTAAATAATCCATCTATGGTCAATTGCTAAACTTCTGGCAAAGGCAAGCAAGATTTGTCATGGTACTTAGTAAAATTTATAATAGCACCTGAACCACCAGATGCAGCACAGCCCAAAAGTATCACTGATCAACCACCATTTTAAGGTGGAGTTTGTGAGATTTTACTTCTACTCGGTCCCCTTTTATCACCAAGTTTGCCAATGGTGTTCATGGATAAAAAGTTTTGTTTTCATCTCATCTTATCATGACCAATAATTCCAATTAATGAAGTTTGACGAAGTCGGGCGCTGTATTTTGTGCAGTTCTGGCATCTTTTCCCAAACATTTTTTTTTTGTTGTGGATATGGCTGTTCGTTGCCTCCCTCAACATGCTCCTCACCATGCTCACCGGTCCTATTAATTTGTCAACGGTTCCAGCCTTGTAAACCATTTTATTGTGGCTGTTTTATCAGATCTCTTTTCATTTTGTTCTTCATCATGTGATGGATGACAGAGATTTTATGTGTACAACCTGTGTACAATGTGGTCAAAAGTTAGAGTTTCTGGAAAGTGAGAACAAAAAATAACAGACATTTTCTGCAGAAAACTTTGCC